TAAGTTATTATGTTATGTTTATTTTTGCATAGTTAACGAATTTAGGATACCTGAAATTTTTGGTTCAAATGTAAACCAAAAAACCGAACCGAACCGAACCGTTCGGAGCTTTAGTTAAGATCAGGTGATTGAGACGACTACTCTTTTAATATTTTTACTTTGTTTGTTTGAATCCAAATTTGAACATCATTGGCTGTGTGAACTGGTGCATTATCATCTTGAAAAAAATAACCTCTCCTATCAAATTTCCTCTCTATTAATGGTAACAAGTTCTTTTCTAAAATCTGAATATAATCAAAAAGAACTACTAAACATAATAGACAAATGATGTTTTGGATAGATACTCTCTGAATTTAAAGTTTTAATATAATATAAATTTTATGTATAATAATTATGTGTGTTTTTGAGCACTTTGATAAACAATTTTGATATCATGTATGTTTTTGGATAATTAATGTAAATAGGTATCCAAATAATTTTTTCCAGGTAGTGTATCTTGATAAAAACCTCTCTGGTGCACTCTATCTCAGCCGAAGAATTTTGATTGTTAAGAATTTGTGTTCAGGTTTTCAGCTCCAAAAAGAATTATTTTATTGACAAGATGTATGACACCGTACAAAGCTTCCAAAGAAGTTTGTAAAATATACTGATGAACTTTTGTCAATTATTCATTAGTTCGTATAGGCACAATCAAAGTAAGTGTTAAATACAAGTTTGCAAATCAAAGTTTTGTAAATGAACATTTTATCAATTATTCAATATTTTGTATAGGAGTGTAATTAATCATTTTTAATTCTTGATAGCTAATTGTAAAATTTTCTGGTGGATTTTTTAAACATTGATCACTTTTTCTAAAACTATTCAATACCCCTTTATCAGAAATAACCATCATTTCCACTTCTTCCTCTTCATCAAAATCATCAACCTCAGGATTTGGTTCCTAATAATTTTTCCATCAGTAAAAAAAAAGGATAACTTACAAACATTAATTTATTGTTAAAAAATTAACCTAGAATACTTTATTGCCACCATCAAAAAAGGATAATGCACAAATAATTTTGTTAACACATCGTCGTTTAGAAATTACATTAACAATAACCATGAATGTAAAAGATTGCCATAAAACCACACGATTTCCACTATATATAACGAACATAATTTATAAGGTATGTTCTACATCAGGAAAATAAATCTCACGTAAACCTACATAGGGTTTAAAACTGACCAGCATTATGTTGATATTTTTGGTAATTCTGTTAACATTTCCGCATAATGCTGGTCAGTTTTAAACCCTACGTAGGTTTACATGAGATTTATTTTCCTGATGTATATCAAATTTTTAAAAATCCATTATACACAATAAAGAGATTTTATAACAAACAAATTTTACTATCCCTTAAAGGAAATTTACAATTCAATTTTTTACCATAAATAAAATTTTTTCCATAGAACTCTGAGTGTGGTGTTTGCTATTTAATTAATATGTAAAAAAACAAAAAATTGGGTTTATTATTATTTAATTTTTTTGGAATTTTATTCATGTAGTACAAACCACTATTTCCAATTACGTTATTTGGTATTGTATGATTTTTAATATCGCCTGATCCAAAATTTCAATGGTGTGATTTAAAAAAATACTGTTATAGTGGATCATACCACCAAGGTTTGAATCAGTTTAAAAGTTTAATCCTTAATCAATTAAAAGGAACAGATAATTATTTTACAGTGGCGATCATAAATGGAGTCTGTACTAGGAAAATCGACCTTCCAGACAAAAAATCTATTTTTGGTAACAACCCTTATAAATTTGGTTACACATATGTTTTTAATATACAAAGAAAATATTACAAGCCTTGTATCTCATTTTTCTACTATGCAAATAGGGTCCAATTTTTTCACCAATTGTAAATCCTTTATTAGAGATTATTATTGAGTAAAAAGACAAAAAAAAAAAAAAATAGCTGGAAGCTTGATTTTCCTAGTACAGACCCCAAATAATGTAGCAAAAAAATAAAATTTGTTAAATTGAAATATTTTGCGAAAACTCAGAGATATATGTATTTTTTTTGTTAGTTTTGTTTGTTAATAATGTAATTTATATATATATAAATTTCAATAATTATTTCTATGTCCAATCTTAAAATAAAAGTGTGATTGGTATGAAACATGTGTTGCATTATATATGATCGTTTATACAAGAATCAGGGGATCATAGTCATGCTACATAAATGTTATATGAAAGGATATTTTATTGCATTTGTTTACATGCCATACACATTGTTATAACTTTTTAGTAAAAAGGCCAAGACAAAAAAGCCTCATACAACTCTGGAAGAAAGAGTCCAAATTCTTCTTTCTCTTCAAAATGGACATACTACAAGGCAAATAGCAAAGTCAACAAATATTAGCCCCTCAACAGTTTCTCGTATTAATAAAAGATGGTGTGAACAACACTCCCTCAAAGTTGCACCAAAACCAGGTCGACCATCTACTATAAATGAAACAATAAAAAATAAAATTGTCAATCTCATCACTTCGCGAAGGTGCTCATCTGCTCCAGAGGCCCAAAAATGTATAGAAGAAAAAGAAAATATTAGGATTTCATCACCTACTATTCGTCATATACTTCATGCAAATGGTTTAGTATCAAGAATTAAAAGAAAAAAAACCTACCTCAGCAGTAAACACTGAAAGCGTCAGTTAGAATTTGCAAAAGAACATGAACATTGGACTATCGAAGACTGGTCAAAGATTATATGGTCTGATGAGCCTAAGTTTAAGGTTTTTGGATCAGATGGAAAGCAATATTATTGGAAATGTCCAGAGGAACCATTAAACCATTTCCACGTTAAACCTACAGTGAAATTTGGGGATGGGTCAGTGATGATATGGGGCTGTTTTACATCTCGGGGTGTTGGTGGCTTTTGTAGGATTGATGGCATGATGGATGCTAAATTGTATCAACAGATACTTCATGAAGATCTTATGAATACTATCAAATATCATGGATTTAATGTCAAAGAGGTCATATTCCAACAGGATGGAGACCCTAAGCATATGGCGAATTCAACAAAATGATGGCTCAAAAATAATAAAATAAAGATCTTGGATTGGCCTCCCCAATCCCTGGACCTTAATCCCATAGAGCATCTATGGAATGAGGTTGATCGTTGTCTCAGGCATCTCCCTGGGCAAATTTCGGGCAAGGAGAATTTATGGAATAAGATACAACAGGTTTGGTTTGAAATTGATGTTGAAACTTGCACCAACCTAATCCATTCTATGCCAGAACGAATCCATGATGTTATCAAGGCGCAAGGTGGTTATACAAGGTGGTAGAGGTTAAATTCTATAACGTTGTTATTTTTATTTTATTTCATATATGAGGGGCGCTCTAGGAAAAGAAGGGTCGGAGATTTTTGATCAAAAAAATTTTTTTTATATAATATTAAACTATCCCTTAAACGAACAGAAATTTAGACCATATTTGGTCTAAAATTTCAAATTTTTGTAGACCCATCTAAACAAAAAGTTATCATTTGTTTCCCCATTTTTTTTTTTTTGATTTCTAAATAGACAAAAAGGTATAATTTATACATATAAACCATTTTATTTGATTGATATTTTGGGGGAGAGTTTAATTGGTATGAAAAAAAGGTGTATTGTAAAAAAAATCCCGATTTTTAATTTTTTTAATAGTTATGATTAGAAAAAAGTTTTTACTCGTTGATTATTTGGTCTAAACCGTAAACTATGTAAAAATACTATTTCTAATAAACAAGTTTACTTTAAAAAAAACCCCCCCTTTTATAGTTAATGAATAAATGGAATAACAAAGTATTGACAATCATTCATTATAACTTTTATAAATTAATTTGGAAAATTAGTTATACTTACTTGCTCTTACCATAGATAATTAATTAATTTACAAAAATCGAACCATCCGGTTTACAATACAGGTTTTCATTTTAATATGTGTTGAAAATCATGTACATATTTTTTATTTTTGTGTAAAATTTATAAAAATTAAATTTATTTTTTAATCACTACAATGATATTTTACAAAACAATTTCTTTTCGAGTTTAAACATAAAGCAACATTACATAAAGTACAAAATATAAATGAACGACTTTCATTATTTGTAGACTTTCCTTCTTCTTCTTGTGTCATATATTTACAATACTCGCATTTAGTCCTATTTTCTCTATACTCAGGCAAATGATCTCCTTGAATTAATCTTTCCAATGGAAGAGTTGATTTAGAAGTAGTGTAAGCTTGTCTTGTGTGAGAAGATGATGAAAAAGATGATTGATAACGAGTTTCTCTTTGACCAGTATTCCTATCTAATCCTTCTTTTATTAAATCCCATACAATACTCATTCTGAAATCTTTATGCATAATCTGATTATTATATTTTTTTTTGTATATTAAATAAGAATTTATGATAGCAGTATCCAATAACCAGAAAAATATTGGCACCCAGGTTCTTTGAACTTTTTGCTGAGTGGAATAATAACTTCTTAGTTGATCTGCAATATCAACACCTCCCATATGATGATTGTAATCATCAATTATCTTTGGGATTGGTAATAATTTTTTTGTTTTACTACCAAATACTTTTTTTACTTTAACTGCATTACTACTAGTCTTACGAGGATAGCGCCGAAGTTTATATATTCTATTTTCAAAACCAACTATATTATGTATTGTGGATAACATTGTGACAGGACCATTATCAATCCATAATACTGCCAATACATCATTATCTACAACAACACCAGAGAGGGTATCCCAATCTAATTTCTTCTTTCCTATTTTAAGAGCTGGTGGAAATCTTGAAGAATTAGTACGAATAGTTCCACAAGCACCAATTCCTTTACTATGTAAAAATTTGAATAATGTGATGCTAGAGAAGTAATTATCCATATAAATATTGAATGCTTTATTGGAAGGTAATTTGGAAGCTAAATGATAAACTTGACTTCCTATTTTATTAAGATTCTTAATTTGTTCAACTTCATTATCTTTTTCAATTCTAGAGGTAAAGATGAAAGAAAAAGTATAACCTGCATCACATAAAGCTAAAACCTTATACCCTTCTGGTGTTGGCTTATTTTTTATTCTGAAAGTATGTGCACTTCTGCCACAAAACCTTATAATCATTTCATCTATAGAAATATTAGATGATGGTACATAAATTGATTGTGATATCCTATTTATGTGGGATGCTAATGGTTCAACTTTTGAATACCAAAATGGATGATTCTCTTCCATATCAGAAATATGCAAAAAATTTTTAATTTTTTCAAAATTTCTAATACTCATATATGATGCAATAGAATGTATTGGGTATCCTTTTTTTTTATTCCATAAATCTCAAATTGATGGCATTTTAAATAATCCAGCATAGATAATAATTCCTAACCAAATTTTTATGTCAAATAAATCGATGCTTAACCATGAATTTCCTCCATTTTTATTTATTGCATATTTATTGGTATTAGTTACAATTGTTGCTAAAATAGAATCAGAGAAAAATAATTTAAAAATTTCATAAGGGCTAACTGAATCAAGTCTATTAAATTCTCCTGGCAAATTATCTTCAGAATCATGTAATGGATTACGATGATTAAGTTGATTAAATAGTGGTGGATGTGGAAGGTTAATTTGTTGAATTTGTGTTCCTTCAATTCTTGTAGTTGTTGGAGTTTCATCTATCTCCATTTCCTCAGTAGTCCCATCATTATCAGTTCCATTACCATCTTCTAAATTGTCAAGGGATTCAATAAATTCATTATACTCAAGAGATTCATCTTGGTAAATATTTTGTGGTCTTCTTGTAATATTAGCAATATAATAATCTAATTCATTATCAGAATCTTGTTGATTTTCTTCAAAAATATTTTCTTGCATTTTAATTGAACTCTTTTTTATTTTTTTATTTTTTTATTTTATAGATACAGTAATTATCAATAAATTGAATTTCCTTGATGTATCTTCTACTTGGGCTTATATATAGAAGATTTAGATCAAGTAAAAGCCATTTTAAAACATATATATACATTGGCATCATACATTTCATCATGGTCTGATACAAAATTTTTGTTGTATGTTCATTATAAAAACATTACTAAAATCAGGCTATTTAAATTTTGGATCAGGACATGATAACAGCTGTTTAAAAATCGTATGATACCAAAATATTATAAATAACGGGATTCGGAAAACCTTTTATTTATTCCAGATTTTTGTACTACATAAACAATACATAATAAAATCTACATAATAATAAACCATTATTATTTTATTTACATATTGAGATACTATTTGAGAAGAACTTTTGAATAGTACACGCCACACCCGGGATTTTACATAAAAACTTTTTTGTGTAAAGAAAAAACAGAATTCGAAATTTAGACCATATTTGGTCTAAAAATCGTTTAAGGGATACAAAATAGTCTAATTCAACATTAACACTAATACTAATACTATAGTAAACGATAGTGATACAATAACGTCATAGTTTAATTTATGAAAACTTCTGAAAACGCTTTTTTCAACATCTATTTACTGTTACAAAAAACCAAATCAGCGTTAAATCATCTCTATTGGACCTTTTTCATTTAACAATTTCAATCTCTTGTATTCATTTATCACACTCCTACCCACCTTCAAGGAATCGAAGTCAAAATCAAAAACATCCATCGAATTCCAGGAAGGAGATCGACTCATCGCCACATAGATCTGACCAGGAGCAAACATATTTTGATCTATGGTCAAGATGATGTGTGGCAACGTTAAGCCTTGGGTCTTGTGGACGGTTAATGCAAAAGAGTTCTGTAAAGGGATTTCACTTCGGTTTGAATACTGGAAAGAAATGAGACATTGTTGCTGGATTGCTCAGGTTGATTTTCTGGATTTGGTTGTAGAAAGTGGGAAATGACGTAATGATTGATTTTATGATCCATGGTTTCAAAAAATTAAGTGTAGACAGTTTATTTAAGATTTGGGGATTTAAAAAAAAATGCTAATGAGCAAAAATTTATTTATTTTATTGAACAAAAAAATCTAAACACATCAATTTAAATTTAGATCGGAAATTAATTTCACAACAGAAACCATCAGATCCTTCATTGTTAAAAATTCATTCAAGGCTCGTGCATTTCTTTTAAACCTTTTTGATTTAAGAAATTAACCTCTTATACTCATTTATGACATCGACGTCCACTTTCAAGCAGTCAAAATCAAAAGATAGAATGTCCAACGACTTCCAGGAAGAAGCTTGACTCATCGCCACATAGATTTGTCCTGGTGCAAACATGTTATGGTCTATAGTCAAGGTTGCACATGGCACTGTAAGAGCAAATGCATTCTGCAACGGAAGTTGATACCTTGATGCTGGTATGCCATTTATATTAAAATTTGCAGTGCTTTTCTGAACGTTGATTTTCACCACATTATCAGTTGTTGGGAACGTAACTTCAACATTGTCATCATTAATAACTTTAGTTACCACTCCTATCGTCCCATTGCAGATGTTGTGCTCGAAGAGTTGGTTGTTCAAGAATATAACCCTCGCCCCTTCCTGGATTTTTGGAGATTTGTGTGATTTTTGAAAGGCAAGTTGTGCCCACCATCGATCCTCTCATGATTTAAAGTGTCAACTGCTAAGGAAACAACAGGATCAGAGCATCGGTCATCGAAAGGTAAGTGCTCACAAACGAAGGCGTTTATTTGGTCTGATATTTCACAGGTACTAACAATGTGGGTGGTGTTTATCATCGTCCTGGAATTTTGAGATCTTTCTACCTTTTCATTGATCAACAATTTTGATTTTTGTGAGAGGTGCCCAAATCTCAACTCCTTGAGCAAATGGAAAAAATCCAAATCTTCCTTCTGTCGTTGTGGCCTGGACAAGAACAGAGGGAAAAACACTTTCCATGCCGGTGAAAAGAAAACCTGTTCTCCGTTCACGGGAGGCAGTTGGAAAAGATCACCAACCAACAGCACCGAAATTCCACCAAATATCTTGTGGCTGTTGTGCAACGAACCAAAAAGGTTACTCAGGAACGAAAACAGCTCATTGGAAACCATCGATACTTCTTCTATCACAACAGCCTTGATCTTCAGCAGAGCTTCTCTCGAGGACTCGGTACTTAGGGACAAGGACTGGTAGTGGCCATCTGTTTGTCTTATTCTCAAGGTTGAATGAATGGTCCTCCCACCAACATTCTGTGCTGCAACACCTGTAGGTGCCAGCAACAGGTAATTGATTTTCTTTTTTTCCAGCATGTCTATCATTTTTAAAGTCATGAATGTTTTTCCAGTACCTGCAGATCCGGTCATGAAGAAGTACGGATACTTGTTTTCGCATTCGGGCCCCAAGAATTACAAAGTGTGTTGTATATTTTGTATTGGTCGTGATCAAGCATCAGTGTGGAGGCTGTTCAAAGAGAAGGCTTTTCCAACGAGATAAGCTGGTTATATATAACGTCCCAGAGATCGTTCTTTTGTAGATCTGTCAGGACGTGTTCAATCACTCTCTTGAACGCTTCAGAAAGTTGGAATTTGCCGGCAACGGAACTTTTTGATAATCTCAACATGGCCTGCTCATACCTTATCAGGTACAGGCTTCTAAACCTATCCCTATAACTTGTAAATCCTCCTAGCAAATCAACCTCAGAGCGAACGGCATGTTTCATTATAAGATGCTGATAGAAAAATGGCTCTCCATCGTCAACATTATAATTCGTAAATCTCACGAGCAACGGTTTGGTCCTTTCAGCAACAAATCTATTTTTCAGATCTCTTGTCAAGTAAAGCTTGCATGTTCTTCCCAGTGGACGACCCCCAACTTTAAATCTTTGAAAGTATTCAGGGTAAGTTAAACTTTCGAAAAGTTCATTACTTGGGCCGATCAAAATACTTGTCTATCGCATCATCAAAATACGGTTTTTCCTCATCCTCATCCTCATCTTGTTGCTCCTCAATTTGCATGTGAACGGGCTTGACCGAACAAATTCTCAATTCGGAAGGGGCTGATGGAAGATATTGAATGGAAGCAGAAGACCTTGTTATGGAATATTGCAAAAGCAATATCATGAGTTCCATCAACCCTAACCTCCTAGCCTGGACATGTCTGCTGTAAGAATCTTGTTTGCTAACGTTGAAGATTTCCGTGGGTTCAGGCTTGGTGGCATACTTTGTCACATATTTTCCAAACCCAAGGGTCGTTATGTATTGGAAGTTGATGTGTCCTTGCCAAATCAAAAGTGTCTCAAGGTGGTACAGTACAACCCAGCGGTCTTCCTCTTTGGTTCTTCGATAGACGTATCATTTGGAATTTGGCCTACAGTACGTGTCGTTTGAAAGCGGTTGAGGGAATCCATTTTTGCACGGTTGCAAATTCGTACCTGGACCTCTGCATTTTTCCGCAATGCATCTATGAATTTGGAACGTTGTGACAAGCCAGTGAAGCTCAGGCTCAAGGACCAGGTGAGGCATGTCCGCACGGATTGCATTGTCCGAAATCAAGCCTTGGATCGAAGATTCGGTGTAGGTGAACCCATGCGTGTGGATGGTTCCTCTGTTCTGAAATTCATCCCTTTTGAAATAGTGTAGGAGCTTACCCCATTGCACAAGACCTGGATTTTTCCAAAGTTTATTGCGCACGTTTGCCAACCTGTTAGGATAATGGAGGTACACATGCAATGGTCTGTTTGTTGGGAGTGGATCTTTGTTGTCGGTGCATCCTAAGATTTCTTTCAGATGCCGCCATTTGCCTTCTGCGGCTGTCATGGTGTAGAAAATTTGGGGCAGGCCATAAGCTTGGATCATTGTGTTGACCTGATACTGTTTTTTCTTGAAAAAAGGTGCGGACGTTCTGATAGATGAAGGTAGCGTGGTGGTTAAGGATTCGTTTATGATGGGGCAACTTGTGTACACGCTTGATGATATCAAGTCGGCTCTGGTAAGGGGTGAGTCACAAGCAACATTCTTCTGATTCAAAATTCTGTTCCGATTTTGGTAATTCTGTTTTTTTTCTATGTTCATGTAAGAATAATGTGGCCAATACCAATGCAATCAAAACCGTGGATCAGGACACAGCATTCTTAATTTAACATACTTTCCATAACTGTCTGTAACTTGATTAAAGCTTAGCAACTTTTTCACATCTTCATAGTGACCACGGCCAGTGGGAAAGAGACCAACGCTTCAACGTCTGGATTACTGAGCTGAATCGGAAGCACAAGGTCATCATCCAAGTCCATGAACCCTGCCATCAAGCGTTCATACCTGTAGTCTTCGTCATGGATTCGTGCTGGAAAGTCATAGTTTGGGACAACCAAGGAGGGTGGTTGTGCGGTGTGTTGGTTAGATGGTAAGTGATCAATGGATCGAGAAACCAGCCTAGCTGTGGGCAAAGGCTCTGGAAATGGATCAGAGGGTGAAGAACGTGTCATGGCGTGATTGTTGTCATATTGTTTAAATATTGGGTTGTTTTGTTTCAGCCATCAGCTTGCATTTATCAAGCTCTCATGAAACCAATTAGGTGGCTCGGTACCTTGATCAAGGAAAGCACCAATCATGCCCGAGTGCAGATTCAAAGCATGCTTATTCTTTGATAGTCCAATGAAGCCTTGCAAATGACAATAGTTTGTGTAATGGTTGGATCCAGACGCACGTCCCAGCGAACAGCTCATGTGAATCAGAGATATATGCTTACGGTACACCATTGGAACCGCATTGATTTCTTCGGGTATTGCCACTAATACAGGTGGGAAATGACAGTTTTTTACTGTTTTGCACGACAAGCAAACGGCAATCTTATACAATCTTGGTTGTTCATACGCAAAGGTAGCTGAAGTTTGGGGAATGCTGTTGTTAGGTCGTAAGTTTCATCAGGGTCGTAATCAACCCATTTCGCAGCAGTGCTCATCATTAGGATAGAACAATAGGCGCAAGGAGTAGATGGGTGATCATACAGTATTTTTTTTTCGAATTCGTCTAAAAGTTCTAAAAGTTTTTCTGAAGGGCGCCATGGCTGCAATGACAAAGCGGACACCAGCCGGTTACTCAGCAGAGCATTCGGCAAGTTCTGATTCACTTCGTTATGATTCACATATGCAGAAAGGAACAAAACATCACGAGCGTTATTATTATTATTATTAACACGATGAGTATCGGGATCAGGAACGATAAAATCCGAAATGGGATAATTATTCATGGTTTTTTTTTTTTATTTTGTATTGACAATTTTTTTTCAACAAAATTTATTTTTTAGACAAGATGTCCCAAACGCATTCTTTTTATACAATTTATCGAGGGTGAGCATCATCACGTTTTACGCAAATCAGGATTGGAGATTAGATTTTTATTCTTTATTTGTTTTTCAAATCAGTAAAACTAAGATATTGATCGATTGATCACAAAAAAAAAATAATCTATATTAAAAAAAAAATTTTTTACTTCTTCATTACACAACAGCAAGCCAAAAACATTGATCATTCATCATCGCTGTATGCTTCATTGTTTGATCAGTGATCAAGATCAAGGTCTTCCTCTTCGTCATTGGAACATGGCAACTCGGGTCCTTTCCCCTTTCTGTTAACTTGATCCATCGTCGTTTGTAAGGCTTTTGCTCTTGTGATGGGCCTGTTCAGTGGACCCAGCTCTGTGCAAACTTTTTTGTGAGATTCATTGTCATCAACCACCACTATTTGTCTTTTATTATTTTCTACAGTGTTGGTAGCGGCGGCTGATGTTGAGGTCGACGGTGATGTGGATGATGACGCAAACAATGACGATGATGACGTATTGTTGACTTTGCGCCTATTGTTTGACTTCTTGCCTACGTACTTCTCCTCTATGCTCAGAAACTTTTGCCTGCGCATGCTTTTTCCAGGCGAAACCTGTTCATTCTTCACTTTTGGAAATACCCAATCGACCTCGGTGCAAATTATTTGTGCAAGGTTCTCGCCTATGAACAATTCTCCAGCAGCGCTAAAGATCAGTGCCTTTTTTGACGCTTCCGCAATTGCAGAAAATCTTGGGTTTGAGTGGTCATAGACGCAAGGGATCTCAACGTCTTCGCTTGAGGAAGTGAACGTATTGTAGATTTTCTTTCCCAGAACAAAAAAATTACACTCGTCATCAGTGGCCACTGCTTCTGCAACACACGGAGCACAAAATGAAGCAAACAATGGGGTAATTGGGAGGTAGTGGACTCCAGGTTCCTCGCAAGTTGTTTTTAGGTCAAGATCTACCACCTTTAACACAATTACCTGCGAAAATATTTATTGTCAAGTTAGTTTAGGCGTAAAGGAACAAAACACTTCCTTCACACACACACAGCATAAATATACTTACGTATACTTGACCAGAAACGAACAGAAACTTGCCCACAATGGACATTATTTGGTGTTTTTCTATTTGATGGACCAGGTTGTTGTCAGCGGAGTTCATTCTAAATGCTTTGTAATTGACCTCCACATACTCTTGTTCATCCACACGGCATACAGCCACCCCAGTCACCGTATGTGATCCACTGGCTGACTTGATGAACATTATAGATGACAAGATACACGACATAGCAAATAATCAAAATTATTAAAGTAGTCAAAATTATTAAAGGAATAATATGCAAAAAAAGCAAGTGAGTAAAAAATATTCGAAAGGCGAATTGGTTTGTTTTTTATTCATTTATTTATTTATACATCCCAGATCAAAGGTCAATTTGATTGATCAGATTTTTTTTCAAGCCTACATCACCATAAAAGAATAAATTTCGATTGTTAAAAAAATAACTAAGCTTTTTTTTTCTTAATTAAAAGAAAAAAAGATCCTTTGCAAAGAAGAACCCTTGTGTGAATCAAAAGCCATTTGCAAATTTCGATTGTTTTTAAAATTTTTGTCCTGATCTTTTCCTTGTGTTCATTTATTTTTATCCCAGATCAAAGGTCAATTTGATTGATCGGATGTTTTTTTCAAGCCTACATCACCATAAAAGAATAAGCTTTGATTGTTAAAAAAATAACTAAGGTTTTTTTTTCTTAATTAAAAGTAAAAAAGATACTTCACAAAGAAGAACCCTCATGTGAATCAAAAACCATTTGCGAATTTCGATTGTTTAAAATCTTTTGTCCTGATCTTTTCCTCATGTTCATTTATTTTTATCTCAGATCAAAGATCAATTTGATCGAACAGATGTTTTTTCAAGCCTACATCACCATAAAAGAATAAGCTTCATGCAAGATACTTCGCAAAGAAGAACCCTAATGTGAATCAAAAACCATTTGCGAATTTCGATTGTTTAAAATTTTTGTCCTGATCTTTTCCTCGTGTTCATTTATTTTTATCTCAGATCAAAGATCAATTTGATTGAACATCACCATAAAAGAATAAGCTTCATGCAAGTATCAAAAATTTCGATTGTTTAAAAAAAATCAACTAAGCTTTTTTTTCTTAACCGATCAACACGTTTTATTTGTTTTCCAGAAAGGAAATTTTTCATTAATCAAAACGATTTTATTGTTTTCTCCAAAAGGAAATCAGATCACCCACCATCCTTCAAATGGTCAAAACCAAAAAAGATTAAAATTTTTTCTTATCCAGATCAGACCACCCACTATCTCTCAAACAGTCAAAATCCAAAAAAAAAAATTTCGTTCAACATGAACAATCAAAAAAATTTGACAACATTTTGAACCGTCTCGTGACCAGAAAATATCACAAACATGTTGTGTGACAAGCCTCTGACGATCCGAGGTAAAGGTTCTAAGACAAAGGCCATAAGTTTTTGGTCCTTTTGAACGGTCCAAACATCTGAGCAAGTCGAAGACCTAACGATGGACAGCGGTCAACACCACACAAAAACATCTGAAGCGAAACACGATTTCCTTTCAGTCAAGTATCTGTTTTGCTCAAACCTGACGTTTTGAACCAAAACAGATAAGTTTTTCAATTCACAAATCATGATAAACAGATAGCAATTGGGT